TTACTGGAGTGTTTCCCACTCTTGCATTCAGATCTCCTGCTATTATAATGTAATCGTTCTTGTTAACTTTATTATGAATTTCTTGCAACTTTATATAGAAGTCTTCATTTTCTTCTTCTCAGTCTTCTTCAGGAGCATATGTACTGTACCAATAATGGTTAAATTACCTCTGTAAATTTTTAAGCAGCATTCTATGATTCTCTCTGTACAGTATGTGTAATGAAGGATATTTTCCTTAAGAGATTTATGTACCCAAATCATTATACCTGCTTGGGCATGAGTTTTCTTATTTACTCCACTATAAATAAGTGTATAATTTTTAGTTTCTTTCTTCTTTGTTTCTGAAGTGACAGCTATGTCAATTTTACCATTCTGGAATAGATATCCTCTTTCCCATTAATGCCTCGAACTTTCTAAGTAGCATACCTAATAATATTATCTTTCTTCCAATTGCAACTATTCCTTGTTCTTTTCCTTATATCGTCATCCGTTTTATTTGTCCAGTTTCTATTCTCTTGATACTTGAAGTAATATTAGAATTCCTCATGTCTGATTACTAGCCATATGATGAGTAGTCCAGTGGTAGGACCGACTCACGAATATATTTATATCAGAATATATGTATTAAATAAGCAGAGAAATAGATTTTCTTTATGCCGTTCAAATTTCTTTAAAAAACATCCAACTTGTGAAATAAGGGGCGCACTTATACCAGATTATTTTGCCTGTTGTGCAAAATAACCCAGTACCGGCATTGGCTATGCATTTCTCACACATCCAGTGTATAGACTTTATTATGCACCCATATATGATATTGCTGCAGTGGCAATGTGCACTATATTATTGATGTCGACATTACCTAAGAGATGCCTAAAGACTGTCACAAGTGTATTAAAGTACTATTATACAGATATAATTCAGGCAATTCTGAACAACAAAAATAAAAATATAGGCATCACACTTAATTTTATTATTTGTAACTTTTCAGAATGACCCAGCTACAATAAACATAATTAATATTTAATATATATATTTGAGAAAAACATATATAATTTTAGGTAATAATAATTACAATTTTATTATTATAATTAATTAATAAAAAATACTGAATAAAAAGTGATCTTTGAAGAAATTTGCTCACAGGTAACAACAGATCGGATTCAAAGTTCACTTCCGAAGTGGGCGACTGGGGTTCGGTTTTGATATGAATCTGCAAAAACAAAAAATACATTAAGCTTGCAAATCAAAAACTGTACAAACAGATATTAGGTATGAAATATAAAATATGAGGACTAGACAAATTTAGGGACTTTTAGAATAAAATTTACTTTTTTATCTTCTTCAATTGTAACATCATCATACTGTTCACATTTAACATTAATATCTCTGTTATCAATTTCAAATTCCAAATCGAGCTCTTCCTTTATGTAACCCCATTCTGGTTCAGTCTTGATGACAAGATGCATTTCTTCATTCTCCATCCTGTCTACTTCCTTTCTAATGTTAATTTGTCTTTATTCTTTTTTATCTACAATAAAAACAATTTATTATTTATGAAAACTCTCTACTTAAAGTGCATCTTTCTAACAAATTTAACTCTTACATGAAAGTAAGTATAAAACGATATTCTACAATGTAAATTCGATTTCCACTTTATAGTGGGAGCTCTGCCCCTTAAGGCCAGTTTGTTAGATGTCACAGTTCTGCCAAGGTAAGCCAAAGGTAATCAAATAATGTTCCATTATGGTTCAACAATTCATGGTATATTTGACAGAATACAGTTTCGCAAACTTTCCAATAAACCTCGAGCTGGACTTTCAAAATCTTTAATGCATTTAATATTCCTACCAAACATGACTGTAATAAGGTTAAAACAGCACCACAATAAAATAAATCTTAGAAAGCCTAAAAATTCTTGAGATATGTTCACAATTCTTAGAAAAAAATTGATAGGTTATTTCTTACAGACAATCAACCGCAACCCCTTCAGCCTAGTACTCCATCTTGAACAGGACAACGCCCACCCCATTCATTTCCTGAACCTCCAGATCACCAACAAACTGGGACACCTGTCTACTCAAGTCTACAAGAATCCCACCCACCTCCCCATCTTCATCTGCGATCCTTTCATGTTCAAAATGGCAGCTTTCAGAGCCTTAATACGGAGAGCATTTTCCCAATTCTTCTAGCAAACAGGAACGAGAAGGAGCTATATACTCCCAATATGCCACACAGCATGGCTACTCCCACACATTATTAGGGGACTTATCTGCAATCTTTCCAACACCACTTCCATCCAACTGAATAAACCCTCTCAAGAAGAAACAAAATTCAAGACCATCATCTACAACAAGTCCCTTGCCACACTTTATGCAAAAATTGCTTTTACCACACTTTATGCAAAAACTGCCAAACAATTGTTGTTTGGCTTTCCACAGAAATTCAGCTATCACCTCTCTACTCCACAACACCAAAGACTGTCCCAACAAGAACCACCTGCCAGGCATCTACAGTATCCCCATCATTGACCATTGTTACAACCACTTGCAATACATACATGCTACATCTCACCTGTTACATATCCGTCTCAAGGAACATCAAACATTAATCCGAAAAGGTTTAAAACAATACGGCTTTGATTGTTTGTTTTGTTAAGTTATGGCAGTGTTTTTCAATATGTGGGTCACGAGTAAAAGAAAAAGACAAGTGTTTGTAGGTCCTACACTACAATAAAAAAACTACAATCTCAGTGAGAAGACTATGCCGGTTTATTTTACAGTACAATTGGTTTTTTGATCGATATTTAGGTCTAAACAGAAGGAAAATTAAATACTTAGTTTTTAAAATCACTGACATAGTTTTAATATGGCCCTGGGGGGGTCGCCAGAATTTTTTAACTTGTAAAGGGGTCGCTTATTCAAGAAGGTTGAAAAACACTGAATTATGGCAATGCAACACTTGGGCAATCTGCCTGGGAATGCCTTCTGGGAGGTCTTTTTAAGGGAAACTGACCCCTATTTAGGTGTTACAGATGTGGAGAAAACCCGGAAAACTCCATGTGGCCAGCCCATCCAGGGGCCTTAGTCTCGAGTTTTTCGTGTTACAACTCCCAACGTGTTGAAGGTGTCACGTGGTACCATCTCACACACTGACGTCAAATTGGTAGTCTCGAGTTCTAACTCATGTTCTTTCCCATCTCACCATGCGAGTTGCTACTCACGTTGAGTCGAGCATGTGAGATCGCTACACAAAAGTGAAAATGGCTGATGGATATGCAATTCTTATCGCTATCGAAGAGTTAGAAAGAGCTGAAAGACGTTGTTTGAGAAGGCAACGAATTTTTCGACCACGAGTAGATGCCTTTGTTCTTCACGAAGAACATTTTAGAAGATTATTTAGGCTTTCCAAGGAAGTGGCATCAAATTTAATAAATACACTTCGACCGACACTGAAAGAACAGACTAGAAGATCGGCATTAAGTGTTCAAACTAGAGTAAGTTTAAATTATTATAATACAATACAGATATATGAATGTGCAAAATAATCAATTATTAAGTTTAAATTATATTACAATATACATATTTAAAATATCTTCCTCTAGTAATAATTGCATGAGTAAAAATTGCAATACATTGCATGTTACTATAAATTGTAAATATTGTTAATTTTAGTAAAAGAATTAAATCTTTTAGAATTAAAATCTTAATGTAATCTTTAAATTTATATTAAGAGTATTGTGTAATAGTATTTTTTATTCTGAATTAATTACTGCTAGCATTTATAAGTAAGTTTGATTCTGTTTTATTTATCATATATTCTATTACTGTTCATTAGATTTTGGCAGCTGTAAGATTTTTTGCCTGTGGTTCTTACCAGTTAGGAATAGGCCAAGATTTTACTCTAAGTATTAGCCAGAAGTCAGTAAGTCGAGCTATTAGAAGTGTTTCAGTAGCTATAAGGGATAATTTATTAAAGCATTGGGTTAGAATGCCATTCAATATACAAGATCATGCACAATTGAAACAGCAGTAAGTGAATTAACAATATTGTGGGATTCTTAATTATAATAATAATAATAAATTGTACATTCATTTTAGATTTTATGACAAATACACTTTCCCTGGTGTAATAGGGGCAATTGATTGTTGTCATGTAGCAATTGTATCACCACCTGTAGAGGATATCAATTATCCAGAACATATATATGTTAATAGAAAAGGATATCACTCTCTTAATGTTCAATTGGTAAATATTGCATTACTTATCTAACAAAATATATCTAGCAATTAAAAAGTTACTTTTGATATTTATTGTATTGTTATATCGAATTAATAATTCATTGCTGAAAATGAATTATTAAGCATATGCAATAAGGAATCAACCAACATTTTTTATTTTGACTCAGAATATCACAAAATATCATCTTACAAGAAAATGTTGGTTGACTCCTATTGCATATGTGATTCCAATATTGGTATGCATTTAATTTTATGATACACTAAGAACATTTATATAGAATTAATACATAATCTCATTCAATATACTTTTTTTCAGATATGTGATGCAAACATGTACATAATGAATGTAAATGCTCGTTTTCCTGGTAGTGTCCATGATGCATTTATATGGAAAAATTCCAATGTTAGAAAAGCCTTTCAGAGATGGCATAACTGCAACAGAAATGCACATACTTGGCTTTTAGGTAATGATAAATATATTATCATAGTTGTTAACAACAAGTTTCTGTTTAAATTTCCAGATACTTTATAGTTTGTAGGCAGTATTTACAAATCATAATTAGCTTATCAAATTACGTATTGTATTTTCTAGGTGACAGTGGATACCCTTTGGAGCCATGGTTGTTGACTCCACTTCGTACAACCAATACTCAAGCTGAAGTAAAATATAATAATTGTCTCACTGCAACTCGAAGTATAATAGAACAATGTAATGGACTCTTGAAAAATAGATGGAGATGTTTGTTGAAACATAGGGTCTTACACTATCATCCAGAGACAGCTTCAAATGTTATAATTGCATGTGTTGTGCTTCACAACATTTGCATTAAAAATAATATTGCTCTGGAGGATGATGATATATTGCAACTAGGGTTTCTCAAACGGGATTCCGGGATCCCGGTTGTTTTTTTAACCCGGGAAATATCCCGGAATATTTTTCTTATCCCGGGAAATCCCGCAAATTTCTTAAAAATTCACTTTTTTTCTTATTTTGTGTTAAGGTTGAGGAATTTTGCAAATAGAAAGCATAATTAACTCATTCACTGTCAGAATACATTTGTATTTATTAATTTTAAACGTACCTATTAGTTTTTTTTAATTTTTGCTCGTTATAGCATATCACAAATGGTCAATAATCAATATATAGCTTATTTGTGGCAGGACTATAAAAATTCTTTACTTGTCGGNCAAGTCTCTGTTTAAATTTCCAGATACTTTATAATTTGTAGGCAGTATTTACAAATCATAATTAGCTTATCAAATTACGTATTGTATTTTCTAGGTGACAGTGGATACCCTTTGGAGCCGTGGTTGTTGACTCCACTTCGTACAACCAATACTCGAGCTGAAGTAAAATATAATAATTGTCTCACTGCAACTCGAAGTATAATAGAACAATGTAATGGACTCTTGAAAAATAGATGGAGATGTTTGTTGAAACATAGGGTCTTACACTATCATCCAGAGACAGCTTCAAATGTTATAATTGCATGTGTTGTGCTTCACAACATTTCCATTAAAAATAATATTGCTTTGGAGGATGATGATATATTGCAACCAGAAGACCAGTTACCGCAGATCATACCATCAACAGAATTTGAAAATACATCAAATGATATACTTTTTAATGAAACTAGAAGGATTCAACAACAACTAATAAGCTTGTGTTTTTCTTAAAAATAATTTTAATGATATATATATCATTAAAAAATTGTATGTATATATTGGATATACTAATAAATTGTGTGTGTATATATATATACATGTCTGTTAAGAGCCTGCCTTTTTCAAGAATATTCAGATATAAAGAACAGAAAAATCAGTACTTTAAAATAATAATTTATTTATTTTCAAATTAAATTTTTTTTCAATATATACATAAAAATATTACAAAGAATTTTCGGATAATAAATTGACAATGGTATTTAGTGCTGTAGCAATTTTTTTAAGGGAGTCTTTGTTTTCCTCAGATATGGAAAGTTCCTTCTCCCTTAACTCTAGTTCTTTTTTCTTTAATTTAATTTTTTCTTGTTCCAGCTGTATAAATGATTCTGTTCTTTTCTTTGCTTCGTTTAATTCTTCTTCAGTGGAAATGTGTTTTCTTTTTCTTCCTTTAGCTAAAAAACATAAATTCATATGGAAAACTTAGTCTTTGTACATGCTAACTATAAAATTAATTCTTTTACACTAAATGTTATAACTTTGTATATTAATATGACTTAATACTATGCAGTTCATTTATGACAGATTCTATAAATTCAGTTCTTATAATTAATGCTACAGTTGCTTTAATGAAGTAATTTGAAAATATTTTAAAAATTTACTTACACTGACTCGCTTCTTTTGTTAAATCTATATATTCACTATCTGTTAGATAAATTGAAAACATTTGAAAACCATAAATTTTTGTTATAATTATTTTGTATATGAGATTATTTTGATGCATACTAACCCTGTTCAGAAGAAGAAATATCTATAGAATTTATTCCTGTTGCAGAGAGATTTTCAATTCCTGGCAGTGTAGATTCCTATTATAATAAATTACATTTTTAAAATATAAACAGAGATATTAATAGTACTGATGGAAATTTCAAAACTTATTATTAATACTCTCCATTATATACAGAAAAATAATGGAAGTATAACATTTTTTAAAACACGTTAGTCTTTATTCATTTTAAATTTAAAGATTATTATTCACCTCAGTCTGCAATAGATTTGAAAACTCTTCAACTTCGGATTCCACAGTGTTTTGCTGCCCCAAAACCACTGTGTCACCCATTAAAGATATGATCCTTTCTTGTAATGAAGATAGCTTTTCACTAGATTCTCTACCACCCCCAGTCTTTTCTCTGCTGTTTCTTATTCTTGACGCCTTCTCTTTTGCATTTCTCTTCATGTCGAGCCAGCACTAATAAAAAAATTTTATTTGATAAAATTATACAGCAAATTTTTCCAAAACTAAAAAGAAGTATAATTCATAGAAAAAGAGAATGAATTAAAATGATAGTAAATTATATGTATAAATTAATAAGAGCATAGACACTATATTAAGATTATTTATTAATTAATCAGAAGTGTTAAGTTTGTTGAACAATTTAAGAAACAGATCAAGGAAGAAAACTGAAGAAAGGATTAAATTAAAATACTTACTTTTTTCCATTCCACAATGGATTTTTTTGCTCCAAAGCACGCATTTAATTTTTCAACCAACTCGCTCCACATATGTAATTGTTTTTTCCTAGTAAATTCATTGTCAAATTTTCCAGAGTTCAATTTTTTGTTATTTTCAATATATGTGACTAATATCTCTTTCTGTTCGTCACTGATTTTTTTAAATAAAGTATTGGAGGTCTCCATTTTCTTTGTCTTCTTTGTCGCTATAATAAAAGTAACTGCAACACGTGCAAACTAAGGCGCCTTAGTGTAAACTAGTTTACGTTTATTTGTTTACAACTTGTTACACTCAAATTGATTGGTCGAATCAGTATAGTCGCAAACCCAGATGCATTGTAAATAATCCCATCATGCTTAACGACAAACGTAAACAAGTGAATATGACCTACTTCCGCTCGCCTTTCGAGTTCACTTGAAGGGTCTAACTCGAGACTACCAATTATGTGAGTCA